TGCTGCTGCTGCTGCTGCGTGAAAGCAAGACGTCCTTCCCTACAATGCCACCTTGACTGATATTGAATGTTTGATTCGCCCTTCATCACAGCTATCGACGCACACAAGGCCAGCCGGCTCCTATTTTGGACGCAGCCAAGGATCTGCAACAGGATGCCAAGGCCAAGTTGGAACAAACTGGCAAGTTGTAGACATCCATGGCATGCTTGGACGGTGGCCGCTCAAGTCCGATGCAGATCCATCAACATCTTCTCTACGTCTTGGACTCTGCCCCATCACGTATCATACATGCCTTCCCCGCAATCGATCTCGTCGCTCCATGACAACGTGACTTCTCACGTCTTGAATCCATCACATGCGCAGACCATCAAAGCGACGGTCCTGACGATGAACAAATAGCTCTGGACAAAGCACAAGCTGTCCGAGCAATCAAATTGCGTCCCTGCGCTGAGAGTATGTGTGAATGTGTATTGATTGATATGTACAAGGCGGCGAGTCTGGTGCAGAGCCGCCAGACTGGCGATGGTGAAGTGCAAGAGGCCTCGAATGAGTATGGAAGATGAGAAGATGAATGGGGCAGGCACGTGCAGCGCAGCGCAGTGTGGGCGCGCGAGAGATGGGTGCAGAGGATCGAGTAGCGATGGCGTGGGATGTGGAGACGCTGTGTACCTTGCGTGGCACTAATCCAGAGATGGCCATGAGACGGCGGGGGAAGAGGGGCAAGCAAGCAAGCGTCCATTCAAGAAGCGGAATCCTTTGTTTCAAACTGTTGAATCGACGAAAAGAGCTTTCATCGGCGCTCAGATGAGCATGGCGAGCAGCTTGAACAGGGGCAAAGGTCCATTGTTCCTCCTGGCAGCGCTAGTCTGACCAGCGTTCAGCGCCGAACTACTGCCCGTCACGCCCAGGTCGTTGCCTGCGCTGGTGATGGAGGCGGTGAGGGCGCTTCCGCTGATAGAGGCAGTGTCTGCGCCGTTGGACCAGGCAGAGGGGCTGGGCAGCACGGAGAAGGAGGACGAAGTGGGGCTTTGTTGTTGTTGTTGTTGTTGTTGTTGTTGCTGTTGCTGTTGTTGACCTTGTTGCTGCTGCTGCTGCTGCTGTTGGCCTTGTCCGTCATTGTTGGTAGGAGAAGGCGAAGAAGCAGCGGTTTGGCCATTGGACGTCTGTTGTGCACCTCCAGCATTGCCGTTGTCATGGTTGTTGCTAGACGGGGAAGGCTTCTCTGCTCCCTTGTTGTCATCGTCGTTGTCATCGTCGGAATACCCAGAGTTTCCGCTGGAATCTCCTCCCTTGTTGTACGCATCGTGGTAGTTGCCCCAGCTCAAGTCACCCGCCACATCCTCCGATATGTCCGTCTCGGCGCTGCAAATCGTCGACGATAGTCAGTGTGGAAGCTGGAAAAGACGCAAGGTGCTACTCACCCGACCAGATCCTTGTAAACGCAAAGGCCTTGACCAACGGTGGGCTTGATAGCCTTGAGCGAGTTGGAGCTCACTGTACCCTTGTCCTTGGCCGAAGCGGAGCACTGATCGTTCCATGCTGCTCTGGCGCTGCCAATGTCCGGATAACCATATCGGCCAATGGTGTAGACCACCTTGACACCGTCGCTCGCAGCAGAGACGCTGGAGGAGCAAAGAGCGCCGAGCACGGCTGCGGAGATCAAGAGGCTGGAGGTGGAAGATCGCATGTTGTGGAGAGTGTGTGTGGGTCGAGCAGGCTAGTGCGTGGGATGAGAGAGGGATGTAGCAGAGAGAGAGAAAGAGAGAGAGACAGAGAGAGGCAGGCT